TTGAAACAGTTTTTTAGTGCAGTTAGATATGATCAAGTTCTGCAATTGAGTAATAGTACACTCATATACACTCGCTGAACAGTGATGGAAGTCGTTGGCAAGGCCCTTTGGACAATTTTCCTCTACAAACAGGTGATGTTCACTTCCATGATTATGTCAAGCAGTTTATATAGTCATTGTTGAATTGAAGATGGAACAGTTCAAACAACGATGAGAAATGGTCCCAGGTTGACATGTTTTAGTTTTTAACCAATGATCGCGTCCAGTATATGACGACGTGCCCCCCCCGCTTGCACACTCTTTTTGAATTCTTCAAGAGAAGTATCACCAATACACCGAATTCGCAACGCTTCACAGTGCTTGCAGATGGGTCTTTAATATGGAGTCCCAGCAAGCTTTTCGTTGCAGACGCACTTTTCTTTGACGGCTGATGGGTCAGGCTGATGGCTGATGGGTCAGTGGAAGTGCCAAGGCTGAAAGGGATATCAATTACCCTTATTAGACTGAAGAGAAACGTTGGACGCAAGCTACTTGGTGGTCTTGACACACGCAGGCGCTACCTGGTCGGCCCATGTCTTTTGTAGTACAACCACCACGGCTCAGCCCTTCGAACGTTCCAAAGACACCCAAGACCGGACCCCACCAGGCCCCGTGGTGGGGCCCCACGGGACTCCAATGCCGAAGAACGGATGTTTTGGGGGGGTCCAAGTCTTCAAGTCGTGTCCGTTCGCCATCGTTCGCAACATCGGCAAAAGAGTATCATGGCTTTCAATCACCATCATCCACTGTTACTGGCAATGGATGGCAATGGGATATACCATGATATGCCCAAGTGGTCCCCAAGTCTCATGAGAAGTTTTGCCCCTTCCCAGATGCGTCAGTCATGGTCTTGACAGTCTTTCGACATGCACGTGCCGCGGTCCGTCGCTCAACAGCGCGGAAAGCCAGGGGCCACCGGTCTACGCCGGTCTTTGGACGGTGCGAGGAGAAAAGATAGGCAGCCGGAGGTTGATGATATCCTGCCAGGGCCCTTTTGTGGGTCCATTTGGGCCAGGTGTCCAGCAATTGGACTCCAAAAGAAGCATGCTGAGGGTCAAGCTTGCTGTTGATTTTGTTGCTGCTGCCGACGATGATGATGGTGGTGGTGGCGGTGGTGTTAATGACAAGCAGTAGCATGAGGACTTATGCACCAAAGCCTGTCGCTGAGAGAGTGCTAGAGATCTGACAGACAATCTTTGACCATGGCTTGGAGGAAGCTCCTTGATTATTTACTTGGAGGAACCCTTGAATGACACACTGCAGGGAATTTTCATTATGGCTCTTCGAAGATTCCTCCTACTTTACCCAAAGTCCAACGTCAGGCGCAATGCTTGGACAATTTGTGTTGGCACCTGGTCCGGGGAATGGCCCCCAGCCTGAGGGGTTGCGGTTCCTGGGCGCCCGAGGCCGAACCCCAAGTATCAGGCTTTGTGCAAGTCATTGGGCGTGGGCTCCTGATGTCGCGCGGGTTAACAGCGCCGCTGGAGTGGTGCGTTGGCCACTCCATGAAGAGTGATGTCAGCAGCCCGTCGTGGGTGTGAGATGAGATGTTCTCAAGATGGGCAGATTTCATGAGATGAGGTCTCCAAGCAAACATTTGTTTGATAACATCTTGAAGATGATCCAAACATAGTATATATATATGGTCAGTGAAGATGCTTGGATCTCCAAGCAGACATTTGTTCGAGATGATTTGTTCCAAGTATACTTCACTTTTTTGGAACGTTAGGACCCGACCAGTTGGACTGAGCGACTGGTCCACGTGTTTTGTAGAACTGAGGCGACTGGTCCACAACGGTGTTCCACCACACGGCGACTGGTCTCCAGATCCCCTGAGCAACGATTCTTCCACAAGGCATTCGATTTGAGGAACAGCATGAACTCATGGCCGCCTTACACATGGAGAACGAAGCAGGGCTACAGACTCGACTGACTTAGTCGGTTCCGTCGAGTCTTTGGTCCATTTCTCGTTTCCCTCGTTTCCCTCGGCCCAGCGAGCCCAGCGAGCCCAGCGCCCCTCCCAGGACTGGACAGTGATGAGGATGAGATGCTGCGCGCTTAGAGTGCGAAGCGCGAAGGGAAGTTCCCGCGAATGGTTCGTTCGGATGTTGCCAGGATTGACTCAGTTGGGCTTGTTGAGGGATGCAGTCCGGGATGGCATCAGGGGTTCAATCTGGTAAATTGACGTCAGGCAGTGCCAAACAAGACAGACATCAGAGACATGGGCGGCCCGGGCGTACGGTAATTACTAGCAAATCGTTTGGCAAAGAGTAGGGAGTGTTCACACTAGCCCTTTCATATGTATTTCACCAAGCAGGACAGAAGCAGGACTTTTGCATTCCAAACAGATCATTCGCTGATGAAATCTCTACCAACAATTTCCTATCCATCGACTTGATGGTTCCACCAACCACCCTGCAGTCCTTCCAACTCGTAGCCCTTCTCGCGAGGCCGCTCGGTGACGAGGGGGAAAAGTGGACCGCATGCAGCGTGGATGTGCGGCGGGATTCGAAATCGCCACCTTTTGGGGACACGTGCAGTGAAAGAATGATGGAAGTGGTTGAAAACCACCTGTGTAGAGGGAAATGGTCATTCTATAGGGACCATTTTCGACTTCCAGGGAGTGTAGATGAAAGCTTGGTGGTTGCTGGGATTTTCTTGCTTTGGCAGCAACCCTTGCTTTTGGCGGTGACGAAACACAGGGCGTTTCTAAGACATAACGGTCTATTCTCTCAAAAGAGGACGTGATGTGGCTCTTCAATCAGATGTGTGATGTTTTGTTGGCGGCAATTTCCAGCCACACCCGACAGAAAGATATAGATCTGACCGATTGACCGATTCTGGCGGATTGTGTTGGAGCCGAGTCAAACACCAAAGTCTCCACAGGACAGGCATCCTCATATGAAGTTATAGGTTTGCCTAGCTTTTGAAGCGACACTGGGGCCCGGCATGCAACAAGATGAACACATTCTTCTTCAATCTGCAGATCAAGCCGTTTTGAAGGCTTAACAAGACATTTGAGTTGCGGATCCCGTCGCAGATGATTCAGCAGTTTTTCCATATTGTACAACCGAATTTAGGTGAGTCTATCAATTGATTTCCCACTAGATCTACCAGGATGGGGGAAGCATCAAATCAATACATGCTGGTTCTCAATGGTACTAGCTGGACTTGGTGCGGGAGGAAGCTGGCAAGAAAATATAGCACCTGCAGATCAAGCACACGTTGGAGTCAAGGTCACACAGATATATATATATATATTATATATATATACACCTATTATTACCTATATATACACTTTGGATTAGTGCTGTGAAGCCTGTTTCAGACAGTGACTGTTGGAAGATGTTGGAAGCAATGATTCTACATTCTACATGATTCTCATCGCGAGAGTAGGTTGGAGGCCATCGCTATGAGGTTAGTTTCGGGAACCGAAGGTATAAACAGTCGGTTCTGAGGAAAGAACCCGCTGGCATTTGCTCACAGCAGATGGGCTTGACAATTCATTGAGGCAGGCCACTGCTCCATATCGTTGTGGTTCACTGGGAAGTTTAGGATACGCCTTGGCATTTACCGTACCTGTACCACATGATATTTGTATTCTCAGGGATTCACCAACCAAACCAACTCTATCCAAGGGGTTTGCTCCCACAACTTGGAGGTGCTCCCGCCCAAGACGTCAGAAACACACACACAGATGTGAGACACATCAAAGACAATATGTATTAATACAAAAATGTTTGGTTTCGTCCTTCTCTAAACTGTAGCACATTTCTTTTCTGTTTTATTCTTTCGCAGCATGGCGGCTTCTGCGGCTGTTCCGCGTGCCCAAAGCCACGGTGCCAGCAACTTGAACCAAATCGTTTGAGTTACTCTCCATCTGAAGGAACTTCCCATCGTGCGAAGCTCTTCTCCAAACTCGGGTCCTCGGTGTCCCTCCGTGTCTTCGGCTCAGCTGGCGAGGCCGTGCCTACCTCACCTCCCTGGCACGCCTCTTCCGCTGCGGCCGCGCGGGTGGAGCTGCGCGCGGGGGAGCGTCCGGCGCGAGCCCGGCGACTTCCTCGGAAGCCCCGGAGCTTCCGGTGGAAGAAGTGGTGGAAGGCGCGGTGGCGCCGGAGGAAGTGAAATGAAGTGAAGGCCGTTGCATTCGGTTGTTTGATGGTAGGGGTGTGCCACTCCAACTTTTGGGCAGAGACTGGCGCGATGGATTCGGAAACGAAGCTTCATGAAGCTGTTAACTGTTATCTGGAAAGTACCGTTCAAGCAAGTGCCACACGAGACGTTGATTTTCATAGGTGTTCGAGCGGGCACCCGACTCCAGCAGTTTCTGGTTTTTGAAGGCGAAACAACTGGAGACCGGAATCGATCTCCGAGCAACATGAGAAGCTCCAGAGCTTGATATTTCATATCACTATGGGTTGATTGATGCTTCCATGCACCTCCATGTGCTTGATTCATACATGACTTACGCACCTCCGTGGTTTATTGGGGCGAGAGAAAAAAGAAGACCACACTAGTGACCACACTTTATCGCTCAGCGATCCAAATATGAAATCTCAAGTGCCTCCGGCCGCCTTGAGCTGGTCGTGGATCTTCTCCCCAAAAAACACAGTGAAAGAGATATCTGGTCGCCATCTCCCAAAAGACGTGTTCAGTGTTCGTATCTTCGCACCGTCTTCTGGTCGTGGCCCTGGATTTGTAAATTTTAGATGTCTTTGGAGGTTGTGCCACCTCGGTGCTTCAGGCCTATACTCTTTTTTGCTTATAGTTGTAATTACCGAAGACAGCCGGGTATGTATCCCTAAGACATCCTAAGACTGCCAAAACTTGATATGCTTTGTTCGAAACAACCAAAAGTTGCCATACCAAGGAAGATGTAGCATTGTTGATCTTGCATACTCGGGCCATCTTGGGCCAAAAGAGGCCCCGGCTCTTGAGGCCACACCGCGGATGTTGCAGAAGCTTCGGATGCCGAAGCTGTGCTACCAGAGAGGGACCCTGGGGCCGATGACCATCCGCCCTCGAGCATCGGAATGAGCGACCTCCCTGCTTCAAGAGCATCGTTGAAGATGAAGAGTCCTTAAAACCAAACAGACTCAATGGGCTTTGTGATGCTTTGTGATGCTTTGCAGAGCGTGTTTTTTTAGGTCATCATCCAAGTAGCTCCCACACGGAACAGTGTTTAAGTTTTAAGTGTGTGCGCGCAGCCAAGGTGAGGAGCAAGATCACAACGAGCATGAACTTTATCCCTCACACCACCAAGCGGTTGACACAGGTGGCTCAAATGGAGATCCTGACGACGCATTACTTGGCGACGGTGAGGCTGCTTCAAGCCATCGGCAAAAGGGCAAAGGCAAGGGTGCCAGCCACGGTGGTTCAAGCCGCAGCTCGGGCATCGAGGGTTCAACTCGGGGTCGCCCAGATAGCCGGGAGAGAGACCGTGACTGGCGCTCCACATCTAGAGCTCGTTCAGCTTCTTTCGACGAGAACCGGTTTTCATCCTGGAAGGGGAAGGGGAAAGCCAAGGGGAAGGGAGGCAGGGGGGCTGCAGAAAGGCAAAGGGAAGGCCTTCTGCTGGTATGGCTACGAGTGCTCCCGTGTGGATTGCTGGTTCCATCATCCAGACGGCCGCTCCATCGATGGGCACGGAAGCGAGGAACATGTGCGCGCGGTGTCCGCGGAGGTGTCGCTGGCGCGGAGGGGAGGAGGGGCTTGGAACGACCGGAAAGGAAGAGGGAAAGGGAAGTGCTGGAAGGGCTACGATTGCACAAGGGTAAATTGCTGGTTCGATCACCCAGAGGGCCGGGAGATTGATACAAGGACGAGAAGTTCGAGTCGAGAGAGGTCTTCAAGTCAGCAGCGTCTCACGGGAAGAGAAGCGGGCGCACGTGTGGTCTCGCAAATGGACCCTTTGGTCTTGGAGTTCGCAACGTTTTCTTGCTGTCAGTCTCCCCAGGACTTGATAAACTCTTTGAGTCTTTGAGGGTCAATAGAATGTCTCGACATGCTTATCATCGCAAATCTGTTTGTGGGGGACAAGAGATGACGGTCGAGCACGTCTTCTGGTTTTTGTTGGGGATCGAGGATCTCCATAGGATCTCCTGTCGGGGATGAGCAAACTGGCACAGCTAGGTCCGAACAACAATTCAAAACGTCCGTCATGTTTGGAGACTGAGGATCTCAGCCATGACTATTGCAAACAGCTGAAAGATGGAATGCTCTACCACCTGGCATTCTTCCTTCGAAGATACCAGCTAGTGGGACGTGTCTCCAATCTTCAGCTGGAACTTCTCACCTTTCTTCCAGACGCTTGGCGAACTCAGCCTCACTTCCACCCATGGAGCTTGCTAGTTCGAAAGGCCTGAATGGACAAAACCACTGGAGTTCACTTCATTAGACGCCATGTGGTTTCGCGTTTCAGCTCTGAAAGGCGGCAATTCCATCATTCCATCTTCCAAATTCCAGCTTCGCATTTGCACCACCCAAGTTGTGTCAGATTCCGGTCCTTTCTGGTCCAATCAAACGGGCAATTGGTTTCGGAGTACATCCTACTCCCGGGGTTTGTTGGGTTTCTGCGACGGGTACCTCGACGACGGCTGCTTCAAGCTGGGTCAAGGATCCAGGCTTCAAAACACCCAAAGACCATCAAAGACCCAAATCAACACCCCAATGGCTTGAGACTGACCGGTGTGTTTCGATCGTTGTGTTTCACAAAGACCATCACATGGCAGTGAACGCATTGCATACGCCTTCCAGCTTCAATTGCTTCTCCACAGAATTTGATTTAAATCTTTACATTGCCGTCCGCAGAGTTTCGCCAGTCAACTTGGAACTCCTTTGACTTTAATCGTAGAATCGCAGTCAAAGGCATTTGCTTTTGCTTCTTCAGGAAGGCATCTGGAACTTGGAACAGCTTCATGAGGATATCCAGGTTTGGAGCGGTCGGGGCTTTCTTTGTGATATTTTAGGAGGGAGGCCCAGGCGTGCTTCTTTTGACCGCCCAGAGAAGCAATGAGAAACATGTGTTTGTCTCGCACTAGTGTGCATGTTTTTGGGAAACTTCATGAGACTTTGTTGGACATACCGTCTTTTCGACCCTGCCCATCTTATTTGATTCACCGCGCCCCGAAGTTGCGAAGGCTGTGATGCGAACGGAGGGGTCCTTGGACAGGGAGGGCCTTCCTCGAGGGGTCGGTATGTGCCACGAATCAACTTCGTCACTCATCTTTGGAACCATTGGACATCCACAGATGGCTCTCATGTCTCATTTCTCATTTCTCCCATGTAAAGGGCAGAACGAACTTTGGACTTTGGACACTATTTTTCTGTCTCTTTCTCTTTCTCTTTCTCTGAAGCCGAAGGCAGTGCCTGTGACTTAATCAACCGTTCTCTTTGGAAACCATTTCACTTACAGTGGTTTCAGAGTAGATGGCACAATCACCAAGAGATGGTTTATATGGACCCCCATCTAAAAGACATGTAGGGGTTTGTGCCATTTACTCTGAAATCACTGTAATAAACCGTTCTCACTTCGTTGAACTAGTGCCCAAACAGGTGGAGCTGGCGAGACTCAGCTCCTTACGCGTGGAACTCACGGCGCGGAGAACCCAGTGGACGGATGGGAATGAGCTGCGGAAGGGATCGGATTTGGGAGCTTCTTTGGAGTGAAACAGGTGGGACGGTGGGATGACGGTGGGATGACGGTGGGATGTGCAGAATCCAAATGGTGAGAGTTTCAGATGGTTTGCTCATGTTTGCAATTGAAGGTCCAATGTTTTCTTTGGGGTGCCAAGCTTCAGGAGATTTAGAATGTCATGGAATATCCATTATGAGAGTTCTCCTATATATCCCTTTGGTGGGCCCCCCCTACAGGCAAACAATACTGGAAAGACGGTTCCTTTTGGACCATGATAAGCTCATTGTCAAAAGCAATGACTAACAGCACAAACCCGCTCGGAGACTTGGGGAAACGCCAGGGGATCCCATGATTTTTTAGGAAGAAGTGGATCAAGAAAGTGGATCCGCTGGTGCTCACTCCCACCCTGGACCCTCGTGCTTCACTCAGCTCAGGAGCAAATCCCTCTGCCTCAAGCGTTGGTTCCTCGCTTGATGGGGCCTGAAGGCACCCCCACGCCTTACTTTTCGTCGGAAGATGTGGGAAGATGTGAGGGGGCAGGTTGCTTTTTCAGGTTAGCTATATGAATATAGTTGTAATATCAGTTGTAATAGCATATAATTTGTTTATGTAAGACCTTCTAAGAAATGAAAGGAACATGTAGCTTGATTGTAAGTTGGTTGTTGATACGACCGGCAGATTCAAATTTGATCAAATTTGTATGCCATGTTGGCTGCAAGTTGGGACCGAAAGATATATCTCGAATGGTTCCTCTTAGCCAGTTTTTTCGCTGGCTACCTTGGTGACCTGGCTTTGGCTACCTTGGCCACCCTCCGTTCATTTGGAGCCCACTTCTTGGAGCCGTGGAGCCGTCGGGGCCGGCTGTGCAGCTTCAATGCTTGCAAGCGGCGTTTTAGGGCCTTTGGCCCAGAGATGCGGTCACTGTTGGAGAGATACGAGCGTGGCTCGGCCTCCCCATACCCTGCGAACCAGATGCTGCTCGGTGGGCTCGACCCTTCGCGATAAAGGACACTGGCCCTATCATATAATGTGACCCAACTCTCTTTATCGCTGTGTGGAAAAAGCAGAATTCAGCAGCCATTGCTCTTGCGAAGCGCTCTTTCAAGTGCGCGCCCAAAGGAAAGTTCCAATTCCGTGGGTGTCAAGTTCACCCAATGGTTGCGGCGAACTGAGCCACTTGTGTGCAATCCATGAGGGGATCAGATCACGTGCCGTGGCTTGTGACTGGCTTCACAGGTCGAGCGCCAATGCGCGTTTACCTAGGACACCCGGTCTTCATGAGCCTGAATGAAGGCCCTTGTGTGGCTAACGAGATGGACTCCAGGCCTCAATGGTGCGGCGTCAGCAGAGGATGCGCTGGCAATTGAGATTTCAGAGCGCACTGCTGATCGTTGGATGCTAGCTGTGGCGCATCGTGTCCGACACCCCCCCGCCACGACGCAAAAGATTGCGGGGGGTCCAGGCTCCAATCAAAAAGATCTGCAAGATTATGAAGCACTGCATCATACTTCATGGCATATTGACAAGTCACGTTGTGTGCAATTTTGCCGTGGACGCATCTAAAACCGCTATGTTCCCCCAGTTTCTGACACTTGACCCTCATTTCGTGCGAGAGGGCTGACTCATCGGCACATATCGGCACCACCCTCGGCCTAAGAAAGAGAAAGAATGATAACACCACCGAAAAGAGAGGGAGAGAAAGACAGAAATAAAGCAGGTAAGAAAGAAACTATGGAAGACAGAAAAGAAAGAAAGACAGTAAAGGAAAGGAAAGGAAAGCAACTGAAAGAAAAGAGATGAGAGATGAGAGAGAGAGAGAGATGTGCAGATGTGAAGCTGTGCATGTCAGGATTTGGACATGTACGGATGCCAAGATAATGCGCAGATCATGAAGATGCGCTGGCTTAGAATATGGAACTCTGGATATGTGCGGATGTGAGTTGTGATGGTATGCAGTGCGCCTGCTTTTTTTTAAAGAAGAACCCTTCGCTCAGGCGCTCTCGCCGGACAAGTCTTGCACCAACAGACTGTGTGCAGCTTTCAAAGGTTGCAGAGGTTTGCAGTGTTCGGCCACCCAAGGTCCACTGCTCCTCAGCGTTTCACTGGTCCTGCTTGCAAAAGCTTCCTCCCGGAAGTGCTTTTTCACCGCTGGTCCTGTCGAACAGTATTGTTCTTTTCACCGGATGGAACAGATTTGGAGGTGAGTTGTTGGGGCCATAGAAGCAATCCCATCAAAACGCTTCCTTTGGCTGGCTGGTTTTCTTTGGCTCAGGATGCTCAGCTGGCTTCCCTCCTCGTTGCTTCGTTGCTTCCAGTCTCCAGGTGCCCACATGAACGTGCTCAGCCGGGATTTGGGAGTGCAGGTGCGATTGAGGGCGTCCGGAGGCAGCGTCCAAAGAAGCATCAACCCCACATGGGGCAAACAGGTTGTTGTTGACACGGGAATGGGCTGATGAAATCTAGGACACCTGCAAGCCACTCGTGTCACCTGTTGGAAAAAGGGCTCTTGAAACCTCCTGGAAAGCCAAACAGTTTGGAACTTTTTCATCATGTTTACAACACAAAAAGTTGACACGTTTGCAAACAACAGTTTCTTTGGCACCCCAGGAACGCGAAGAACGCATGAAACAACGCACGAACGATTTCGTCTATAGATGGGCCTTTCTTGGGCAATCTACCATCCCAGTCATCCCAGTTGTTCCATTTGTTGCACTGACCTGGCAAACGCCTCCCACCCGGAGCAAACGGTTGGCCGCTTGGCCCGCGCAGATCACGCTGGAACACGGAGCGGAACCAGGTGTCGGTGCTGAGGAGCGGAGATCAGGTCGACAGAAAAGGGGGGCCTATGTTCTCGGTTATCTCAGTTCAGGCTCAGGCATGCGTTTGCCATTACGCCACGTGTGGTTTGAGTTGAGGTGGGGAAACCTGCAAACCAAAGGTTTTCCCTGTCCTAAGGCACTCCCATATTTCTAGAATAAGGGTGTAGGAACACCCAAACAGACGCAAAAGCGCAGGGTTTTGCCCACAAATCCTTAGAACGATTTATCGTCACAGACGGAGAAATACTGGTCACAGTATATGGGCGGTGGGATGAATGATGCTGTATTTTTTGCCTTTTCAATTCAAACGTTGTCCAGCAAGTGGCTTTCAACATGTTCATGTATCCTTGGGATTCCCGTGCCATGGGCCAAGTCAGACGCCCAAGTGGTGTCCACCCCATGGCACGGATGGCATGTCCTTCGCACACATGTTTGTTTGGATTGTTCGGGTTCGGTGATTAAAGAGGGCCATGTTCGGGACACGGAGAAAAGACACATACACCGAGGTTCCGTGGTGTTTTCAGAACCTGGAAAGTCATGAAGTGTTCAGGTGGTGAATCAGATTAGATGGATGTCCCTGATCAGCAAATCCAGAGGAGCAAACAGCCACAGCTTGGATGGTGGGGGCGCCCGAAGTCCTCTTGGATGCGCGGAGTCTTAGCGAGAACAAGTCACCAGTTTAGAAGTGAATCATAAGTTGTGTTTTATTTTGTTCGGCTTACACGGCAACCATCCCTTGTTTGCATCGTCAACGCAAAGTCAACCAACCAAAGCACCCAACCAGGATGGTGCGTCGTGGGCACTTGGCCGTCAAGTTTTGTTGTCCGTATCGATCCCTTGTGTATTCCTCTGCATGTGTCACGTGATGCTTGCCCACCCACTTGCTGGCAATTCCCAGCGCAGTCATGGTCGCTCTGGAAGGACCTGAGGGATAGTTCAAACTCCTGATGTAGTGTGTGAAAAGGGCTGCAGAGGCAAAGCATACCGAACCTATAATGTCACTCATGAGCTTACCCACCAAATGTTGTCTGCTCTTTAGACACGCAGTTGATTTGGAACATCTCTCACACACACACACATGTTCAAGGTCTGATCGTGTCAGAAGTGGTTTGAAGCGCCAGAAGGATGACGTAGCGTCAACATAGTTGTTGTCTACATGCTTCTAACAGCCAGTGTCGCTTGAATACCACGATTTATCACATTTTTTAAAGTCTAAGAGTTGGGGCTTTGTTTACGCATCTGATGTTTCCAGCAGCAATAGACCAGAGCGCCGCATGCTTCACCCGCTTCAGCCCACTTCAGCCTCCCGCGTCCCAAATCGTCCACCCAGTTTCTGGATGGCGACTCAGAGCTTCGGTCGCTGAGGAATGCCTTGGAGAACCATTTGATCTCCTTGTCCACCCGAAGTCCTGCCGATCTGGAAGAACAACTCGCGCACGAACGGCAGCAAAGCGTGCACATCTTTGTAGACAACAGCCACTCGGTGTCCTGCGAGCGACGAGGTCGAAGGAGAGTGAGGGAACGAGGGGTTCTCATGGTGTTGGTCCTCGCTTTTCCTGAAGCCTTGTCACATGGTTCCTGGAAGGAGTACCTCTACTCTTTGGTACCCGTCCTATGACGAAGGGCCTAGAGAAGCGCAGACTCGGAGCGCAAGTCATGTCGGAAGGAGTACCTCAGAATCCCTTGTCTGCACCAAGCAGGTGGAGAACGTTGTCTAGAGGTTGGTTTTGGAGTGCGGCCCGTTGGTCTGCCCCTGTCGGGCACACTTAGAGCCTCCTAAAGGCTCAGGTAGTTAAGCAAAGATAAGCAAAGAACGTAGACCTCACGCTTTTCTTCCAATAGCTCAAGAGATTCTAGTGGCATTTGAGATGGCTGCTGGATTAAGATATAATTATAGCTTCCTGCTTGGGTAGAAGAAACTTTGCTTCCAACTCATGGATCGTGTGGTGCACATCTTCGAAAGAGGTCTACAAGACGGTGCATATCTCCAGGTGCTTCAGCAGTTTCAACATCAGACCCCCTTTTTCCGTGGTTTATCCGTGCAGTGCGCTTTGCACATCAAGAGTGAGAGTTCCCCACGACCCCTGTTTCGGTGCAGCGGCTGAGTGCACATCCCATGTGCAAGGGATGTCTCTTCTGTGAGGCAACATTTGCATCGGGTGCCAGTTGCTGCCCACTGGAATCCGGGACTTTCAGCAACGGATTTACATCAAAGGCTTTACTGGTGCCCTTCAAGGTGTCAGGAGAGCTGGCCCGTGAGGTTCTGAGGGTTGAACGGGGGGAAGATGGACAAGATGTACATGGATGCTGGGCCATGTTGCATCAATTCTTGAGACTTCCGGAGACTATGTGGGCTGGGACTCTTGGGGTTGAAGATTTCATCTCTGAGACATGCGCCGACCTTTTAGGTTCCTCAGATGTTCTGCAACAGCTTCTGCGTCTTCCTCGCGTCTAGGACGGTGCAGCGGCGCGTGGTGATGGGCTCTCGCCCCTCGGCGCCCTCGATCTGGGCGGCGTGGAAGCGCGCCGGCTACGAAGTGCAAACCGCGCATCGTGCCTCCCCTGGAGTGGTCGGAATGGACGGCTGGAGACGGCTGGAGTGGTTGGAGCGTCAACCAGTCGGGAGACGAAGTGAGCGTGGCACCAGGATCATCACTCCCTCCTCACTCCGCCACAGTGACATGTGGGTTTCAGCCAACCTTGCTCGAGTAGAAGGTGTCAAGATTTCAGAGCGGAGTCTTGAAAAACATGTGCCGGATATTACCGGATCACCTGGTGTAAACTTCACTCACCCACAGTAGCACATCGGCTTCAGCCAGTGAGTTGAGGTCTCCATCTTTGTACAGCATCTGGCACGGCAGGGGCGATGTTGGTTTTAGAGAGTGTATGGGATCCATTTTGTTTTGGTACAAAGGTATCATGAATGAATAACATTAGGTCACTGGTAACTCCACTTGATTCCCAGGAATCCTTTTCAATCCGCTAGGATACAAAGTCTGGTGGACTCACCAATTGTTTGTGTTCTCCTCACCTTTCTTCCCTTGTCTCACCTGTCCCGAATCAACGACTCTTCAACTTGACAGACCGAAAATCCACCAGCCCAGCCAACAGACCGAACGGTCACAGTGTGGTATTTTCAGGCGTGGCGTTGGGTGAGGTTCCATTTCTTTGGGGTTCCCATTTGGGTGAGTCCGCATGGTCTGGTTCCGTTTCTGAACTGCCCTAAGAATCAGGACCCGTTCCGCACGGGTCGGGCCGTGCTCTGGCCCAAGGTCGGTCCTTCCTTGGGGTGTGCGGTGCATATCCGGCTGGCGTAACCGGCGAGGTCCCATAGGTGGTGGAAGTGCTAAAGAGGAAGGTTGATTTGGGAGATGAAAATCTGTGGGCTAGCGCTGGGGGCAAGACCACCTCCAAACAGGCCACAACAATCCAGAACACCATGGAAACACATGATGGAACAAATGGGATTGCGATGGGTGTGTTGGTGTGTTCACCGCTTGCATCACTGCCTGGATTTGGCCATCGCCATCCCCCAGGTGATCCGAGAAACCGTGAAGAGTTTGTGGATGGTCGTCTTGTAGGAGCGTCACTCCCGGGCTTGCGGCCCTGAGCCTCAGCTCTTGTTTGGAAAAAGAGAAGAAGGGTACCAGGAAGCTGGATGGAAGATGATCAACAATTTCTTGGCACAATCCACTTACCAAGACCCCTTCAAAAGAAAATCAAACACACCAAAATTGGTATTCATGCAAGTCTCGTCTCTGTTGGGAGACGGAAAATCAAGACGGATGTCGTGGGCTAATGTTGTTATTTTGACATATTTTTGCCTCACTTGGGCCCAGGGTGATGATTCTTCTGATCCTCAACTCAGATGGCAAACATGTTTGTGACATATCCTTTCTTTGGCCGTCTTTTTCGCGGCGTCGAGTTCGTCCGGGGGTTTCCGCGGTCGGCGGACTCGACCCGCCCGCAGCACCCGCAGGAGAAGCCTTGATGCATGTGCTGCGCTTCCCTCGTTGTGACGACGATCATGTGCTGATCCTGGCGACGGGGGATGGAAACCTTGGAGGTCAAGCACCCAATACCGCCGCTGGGGAAGAAGAAACAAGGCGAAAGAGGAGGAGACATTGGGATGATGATGGATGATGGGAATTAGGGACATTTGGGACGATCTTTGCTTGAAGCAAGAGAATGAGGGTGCATGGTGCATGTCAGGTCTGATCATGTGTCGCGCCCATGAACACCTGAAAGAAGACAATATCATTGATGACAGTGACTTGCTGGAGACAAGCCTCAGGAACGTGTAGACACACACAACTTTCTCCAGACCACCAAACTACACTCCTTTTTGGTTCATTCCGAACTTCTAAGGGACTTAACCATGCGCGAAAACCAGCTGCCCCCATGCGCTATATACTATATAGGGTCGGTTCGTTGCTTTGCTTTGTGCTTTGCACCGCTTGGGGCGTTCCACGCGTTCCACGTTCTGGTGTTCGGGTTGTCAACGGCCGCCCGAGGCTGGAGCCAACTTCCAGAACTTGGTCCAGACCGTCGCGGAGGGTCGCGTGCCGGGCTGGAGCGTGGAGGTCTGGTGTTGGCGCTCCAGCTGCCATGGAGTCTACAAGAGGACAACGGGTGGGAATGATGATGAATGGGAGATGGGTCTGAGACCACAGGAGATAGGCTGGAGGATCTTTCTGAGCAAAACATAGCAAAACCAAGAACCTCTGTATGATTTTGTTTTGTGTTTTTCACCCTTGGGGAGTTGGAGTTGTACAAGATTTGCCGATCAGGATGGCCAAGGAAGGCCAGATTCGGCTTTGCTTCCTCGATGGTCTTCGAAAGCAGGCGGGCTGAGGTCTCCCCAACGCGGAAAACACCTCGGCCAAGGAAGAAGAGTCAGCGTCCAAGTATGGGTTCCAGTTGAGTGAAGAGTGGAACGTGTGAGGGTCAAAGAGTGCCAAGTGTTGGTTCGTCCACAGCTCAAGGGGAGGAATCCGACCCATCCACCGGTCCTCGTCCAACCCTAAGAGCCGCAAAACCGCTGCTCCTTCGGGAACGGCCGCCTGTTGCGGGTGGCTTCTATCCGGGTGGAAGGTCGAAGAGAGCAAGACGTGAGGAGCTTTCGGAAGAGTCGAAGATCGCCTCAAGAATCTCCCTCTTCTTTCCCAACAGAGGTTGAAGGACCCGAACTAGACTATCCCAGTTGGGTACCCCAGGTTACAGGTCCTAGTTCAGGTCACTTAACCTCTCTTGGTCTGCATGGGAAGTCCACCACGTCCCCACGTCCCGTCCAGAGATGAGAAGACCTGCACATAATCCAGGATTCCAGGATGGACCACAGGAATGGGCTGAAAAACACTCCTAACGGAGCAATCATAACTATTAACATATGCATTGACTGCTGGCAGCTGGTCAAAGTGCCTGCGTGCCTGGAGCATACGCCAAAGAAGATGTGAAGATATCAAATGGATTCAAATGGTCTGCCAAGTAGCGAGATCGAGGTCCCGGAAGTCCGGAAGCGGTTCTTATTCACAGCGCTTGTGGTGGGTTCATATCAATGGCCAAATCAATCTTGTCTACTGTATACGGGACCTGAAGGATATTATTGGCACACAGCTTTTTAATTTTAAGACAAGGGCCTGGCGTTTGAATCTTTGGATGTTTCTTTATGGTAGATGTCCATGACCTGTGGTTCAAGATGCTTCAAGAAAACATTGATCAACACCTGATTGTATAGTTAGGCTATGTTAGGCTATGTTAGGCTCTTAAAAGACTTGTAAAGGCTGTTAAGACTGGACCTCACGTCTGATGGCTTCTGACCTCACTCTCGTTTCTCCAGGTCACCATGACTGCCCGTTCCACGGCTGAGCTCGTGGCTGACCCCTTGGCCCCGGAGGACCAACACGTTCGCCGTGGTTTCAGCGGTCGTCCTGGATCGGTTCCATGGCGGACATGGTGAAATCCTCCCACATGTCAAAAACACTGCTCCCCCCCCTCCCGCTAAGATAAAAGACTCCGATGTCATGTTTTTTTTTTTGTAAGGAGGGGTCCCCAAATAGGGGACCCACGATGATGGAAAGCTGGGAAGAACTTCAAAATCGAAAAGTCGCCTATGACTATGAACATTTAGTTGGAACATTTGTACATGAGACATAGCCACCTTTGACCGATACCCTTTTTCACTCGAACCGGATCGACAGGGATCCCTTGGCCGCTAGCTGAAAAGTCTCCGCTTGTTTGGTAGCGGAGCCCTGCTTCGGCGGGGCTCCGAGCGCCATAGGCTGCCGGCGCTGGCTTCCAGCGCGCCTGCCGTGACCGCAGGCCACCCTTTGCGTTGCTTCAGGTGACACCACGACGACTCTCACCTTCCTGATCAACGTGTGTATCACGGCGCTCTTGGCGCTCCTTGTTTCTCCCTCCTGCTGGCTGATAGCAGGAGCACCACTGCCTGTTGAGCTCGCCCCAGGTTCTTTTTTCAAGCTGCGAGTCCCGACCTACCCGATCCAGGACCTCAAGAGTGTGATCGTCGAGCTCGACTACAGAACTACACCTCCAGGATATCTCCCTGAGCTCACCGATTACAAGGTCCCTGTCGAGGAGAATCGGTCCTACGCCCATCCTACATCAGTGATGGCGGCTACAAGCTCGACCTTGCAGTCCGGAATTCCATTGACGGAGTACCGGAGGGACTGTCCGCCCGGTTGGGCCCCTGGCCTGCCGGACTACCCGCTTCGAATGTTCTTTGAGAAACTGAAGTTGTGGTACAGGATCTATGAAGGCCCCGACGAATCAGTGGGCCCTCTGGTGGCAGGACGATTGCAAGGACGAGCCCAAAAGATTGCCATGAATCTTCGTGTCATCCGCCCTGATGGGAACTATGACGTTGGTGACAGCGCTCTTGTCCGACTCACTGTGGACGAAGTTCGCGATCCTATGGATCCCAATGTAATTTTGCAGCCTCACATCCCGAGCGGAGTCTCCGTGCTGGCTTCCGCTCTACGAGAAGCATTCGGTCAGAGTGACCAGGAGCTCACGACTTCGGCTTTGGAGGCCTTCTTTGAGCTCCGACGTGGAAAGCTTTCGTTCCAGGAGTACTCCGCCGAATGGGATCTTCGCTATGAGGAAGCACAAATGAGGGCTGGCCTTGATGTCAACGACGTCGCCAAGACCTACCTCTTCTTCCGCCACAGTGGACTTCCTTCCAAGTTCGTGGAGGACGTGAAACTCCAGATTCACGGAGACATGAGTCGCTTTGCTGAGGCTCGACGACTTGCTCTCCGTCTGAGCAGTCGCAGTGAGAATCAGTCACTGTCCCACGACCTCTATGCCGAGCACCAGCGCACCAACGACCATGCCGAGAACTACCAGACTGACTATGATCCGTGGGGTGCATGGCATGGCACTGAGCAAGACTGGACGTACTATGATGAATGGAGCTCAGAGCCATGGTACGATGATCCATGGTATGATGGCCCCACAGAAGAAGTCTGGTATGACGCCACTGAACACAGCTCTCCGGATTGGCACAGCACTGCTGAAGAATATGACATGGCTGCAGATGACCTTGAGAACTCCGAGGACTACTACCAGGGCTCCAACGATGGTTGCTTCATTTGTGGCTCTCGTTATCATCGTGCAGCTCAATGTCCAGCCAATCACGGAGGAAAAGGCAAGGGCAAAGACAAGTTCGGAAAAGGCAAGAAGAGCAAAGGCAAAGGAAAAGGGAAGAAAGGCTTCCGATCCAAGGGCAAAGGCAAGAGCAAGTACAAGGGCTACTATGAGGACTTCCAGGACTACACCACCTATCGTCGTCAGCCCGACTATGGTCTGTCTCTGGAAGCTCAATCGCCCACGAGCAATCGCACTGACAAGACACAGCAGTTGGTGCAAGTCACTCCACCACGCAGGGAGGAGATCTTTGCCTGGCGAGGTCCACCTGCTGAGACATCGACTACAGAGACAACAACAGAAGCAGCAGAGCAGCCACGGAAGCACCTCTCCTTTGCCACTACTTTGCACACGAACCACTGCACCTACCACACGGTGCAAGGACAGAAACGACGTGGCCTTCTGATCGATCCAGGTGCCGCTGCGGGCTTGGTTGGCAGTGAGACGCTAAGAGATCTTCTCGATCACTGCTATCCGAATGCCAAGAACGAGACGATCTCATGGTCCAATTCCACCGCCACCATCACAGGCATCAGCGGCTGTCCAGATCGAGCCATTGGACGTGTACACCTCAAGCTTCCGTTCAAGGGCCTGGATGCTACCTACACGGCCGACGTGATAGGCAAGGAAGGCTCACTCTGCCCAGCTTTGGTTGGCAATCCGGCACTTTGCGAAATGAAGGCATCACTGCATTCGTGTTGGTTTGACAACAACGACGGCCTTCTGGTGACCTGGACGTCTACCTCTCAGAGCTCAACCATGGCAGACATTCACCTCTTCAGATGTCTGCTGACAAATTCCGGTCACTATCTTCTGCCTTTGGATGATCAAGCAGCCGCAGTACATGAACCACAACATGACGTGTGCCACTTCATTCGGCAGATCTCTGAGATGTCCAAAGCTCATTGGCCAGATCATTCCTACACGTTCTGGCAACAGGTCACCCAGGCAGCAGCAGACCCAGGACAGAAGTGGAGGTCCGCAGAGCCGACATCTTCATGTACCACGACAGTTGAGCCTGCGGATACAACTCAAAAGAAAGAAGTGTCCTTTGCCGAACCTCTTCATGAAGTCCGTCAACTGCTCGATGATTCCGCACCAGAAGAGGCTCCAAAAGAGGAGCGTGTGAAAAGTGAAGAAGTGCGTGTGATAAGTGAAGATTTTCCGAGACCAGCAACAGAAGAGATTCAGTCCTCTGACCTCACTGAGGAGATCTTTGCCACGAACCTGAGTGATCTGCCTCTCTACACTCAGGATGAATATCCAGAACATCTGACAGCTGAAGAATGTCAACGACTGAACAAGGACTACAAAGCAATGCCTGAGGAGTTCTATGTGAAGTCAGGACGACGAGTGGTCTCTCCATCCACCCACGATGGATCAAAGAGGCAAAGCGCAACAAGACCAAGTGGCATGGCTGGGAACTATGTTCAGGTTCTGGACGCTTCACATTGCTATGCGTGCTTTCTGGCCTATCCATGGGCTTTCCAGTTGACTTCAGGTATGGCTGGGATCTTGGCCTACCTGAGCACCAGAAGATGCTTGATGAAGCCTACGATGTCTGTCGCCCAGACTTCCTGATGTGCACTCCTCGATGCAAGTTCTACAGCATCTCCTCATCCAGGCGAGACAGACGAGATCTTCTACGAGATCGTGAGAAAGAGAGACCAGCACTGGTTTACATGCAGAACAAGCTGGCCCAGCAAGTTCAGAGAAAGAAGTACTATGTGCTGGAACAACCATGGAGTTCAGCTATGTGGACAGAAAGTCTAATGATCCACAACCAGCAGTTCCATGGATACCGGAAGGCAAAGAGGACAGATCAGTGCGCCTTTGGAGCATGTGATGAACATCGGCAACCTGTGCTCAAAGCCACCGGCCTTGAGGCCAACTTCAAGCTGAGAGTAGCTGTTCGCCGATGCAATGGCCATCGAGGAGTTCCACACACACCTCTTCAAGGCCAACACAACGGCATCAATCGAACAGCAATGGCAGCAGTTTACCCTCAGCGCTTTTGCAAAGCACTCATCGAGGACGTCATCCACACCATTGCTCCTCATGGTGGCCTTCGACCTAAGATCCTGCACAGCTTGGCCCAGACAGCAATTTACTACAAGTGTGAGCGCTGCGAGTTGGGACGTGCTGCTCTTCCTGGAACAGAACACACCTACATTCCAGGAGAATGTCGTTATGGAAGAAAGCTGGAGAAGATGGCAACTGCAGCTCCATCGACACCGTCTATGGCATCGTCCCCTCTGGAAGACTTCAAGAGAGCCGCACGCTCGCATGCCAATGCCAAGGCAGTCACTTTGACAGCGCCTGCTGACTACAACTTGTCTCCCGAAGATCAAGTACATCTCAAATACTTGCTGTGCAAGATCGTGGAGGACAGCATGTCCGTCTTTGAAGCTGCCGGTGGAAAAGAATATCACTACTGGCTCACTGATCCATCTTTGATGATGGCGGCCAAACACCTCCTCAGAAAGATCCTCTACGTCTTCAGAGTCCACGTGGTGCTTCACCCATTTGCCAAACCATTTCCAGAGCCTCACCTCTCTGCAGAACAAGCGCCACTACGATTGATTTGCCGGGGATCCTATGAATCATGGCAAGTTCACTCCATCGAGGATCTGAGAGAACTCTCAGCCTCCCAGCAAAGGGAGGCCATCGAAGAAGAGAATTGGCTGATTGCATTTTTCGGCAGTTACGATCCTCCAGCATCTGCAAAGGGAGCACCTCAGACTCCATCCGGGACATCCGCACCGATGACACCAATGCCACAAGCTGCATCAGAATCACAGGCCATCGTTCCACGACAGCCAGCTGAAGATCCTGCACGACCATCCTCATCTACAGCCATGATGCCCTATGAAGGAGTCGACACAACAGCCATCGAGCTTCGAAGCATGAAGCCCCTCTACAGCATTCGACGTGTCCTTCATCGACTACCTCTAGAGATCAAGAAAGACACAGTGGCTGCTCGACGCCTCCTTCTCGGGCTACATGAAAAGATGTGGCATGCCAACGCCACGGATTTCTCCAACCTGCTCCTCAGAGCAGGGATGCCTCCTGAAGTAGTGCAAATGGCTCATGAAGCAGTGGCATCATGCCCTATCTGTCGACGATATGCACGACTACCAGCCAAGCCAAATTGACTAAGGTCTCATTGGCAGCACACTTCGGCGATGAGGTGGAGATGGACATTTTCTATCTGTGGTCAAAGCCCTTTGTTCTCCTCATCGACGTGGCTACGCGCTACAAGGTGGCGTACCACACCAAGTCACGGGAGACAGAAGAACTGCTGCGTGGATTGCTCCACCATTGGATTCGCTACTTTGGTCCTATGCGGGTCCTCACTTCAGACCAAGAGAGTGGCTTGATGAGTCCTTCAGCAGCAGTTGAATTCGAACGCCTGAACATAGAGCGAAATCCCAAGGGCACCACCTCGGGCGAAGCAGGCAAGCAGCGCACCGGAACAGGCCTCATTGAGCGTCACATCAGCCTCGTGAAGCTCACCATGCAGAAGGTCAAAGCTGAGTGTGAACGCCAGTCGTTGGAAGTTGAAGATGAAGACATAGCTGCTGAGTCATGCGTGAGCCAGAACATGACTATGACCTATGGAGGTTACTCGCCATCCATGGCAGTGTTTGGAGTGGTTCCTCGTGCCTTCTATGAGTTCGAGACCCCGAACATCACTGCAGTCACTGGAGCACAAGATCGAGATCTTTCTGTTTTCGAGACTGCAATGAGATTGAGACAGATCTCCTTGACAGCAGTTCAGCAGTCAATCATGGAGGATCGCCTGGCACGAGCTAGCCACACTCGAACACATCAACTGGATCTGTCTCAGCTGACTCCTGGCACTTCTACCATTGAGGTATATCGAGATGGTGCTTGGAGAGGACCAGCCACACTCCTTGAGGCCAATGCAGATGAGGGCACATCCATTGTCAAGCACCAAGGCAGACCATACCTCATGCCGCTGCGCTTCATCAGACCCTTCAAGGGCGTGTTCTACAACGTGGACACTTGCGCAGAGTCCATGTATCAGTTGATGCAACTGGTCGAAGAAATCCAGCAGTACAAGCAGATGGTCCTAGGCTACAAGCGAGTCATCACTCCTGATGGCCTACAGTGGAAGACTCTGCCGGCACAACCATCTGAAACACAACAACGAGTTCTTCAGCACTTCACTCAATGGACAAGTTGGCTGCAGCACAACATCCACGGCATCATCTATGGCCAAGCCTTGAGGACAGTGACCCCTTTTCCTGGCACCAGGGGCACTTTGTTTGTCTGGCAGAAAGGGACAGCCAACTTCGTGAGAATGCTGAAGCAAGACGATCAACAAATTAAATGAGGATGAAGAACCTCCATGAGGCCCAATGGGAGCATCTGTGCGTTCTCTACATCTACTACTACCCCGAGACGTTTGAAGAGCCTGCATCCAGATCACCGGCATCAGCTCCGGAACGGGCACTTCAGATGGATCCAGATGCACCACATCCTCCAGCCATCGTGCCTGATGATACATCCATGTCAGAAGCTGCAAGTGTACCAGTTGAACGCATGGAGATGGAAGATGCGCTGTCATCGGTCATTCCACAGCTACCTCAAAAGAGAGAGACACCACCATCACCGACGCCAAGCACAATGCCACTACCGGAGAAGAAGCTGCGACTTGACCACCACACACAGAATGAGAAGAAAGACTTGAGGTCACTTGCATTGACCAACGAATTGGAAGGACACTTCTCCATTGTCACCAAGGAGTACCAGAATTTGCACACTCTCCACTGGCTGATGGATCGACAACGTCGACACCGCCTTTACACCCAAGATCTGTGGGAAGAGTGCTATGTGATGCCTAAGTGGTATTGCAATTTGACAATGAAAGATGTCCTCATCAAGTCGCTGCATCAACATGCTCAAGTACATCGAGTACATGAACAATACCTGGTGCACTGGCCCGGACACAAACACAAGACTTTCTTTGTGGACATGGCGTCCGGCGGCAGTTTTGCTTCAGTCACAGCAGAAGACAACATTGCCGAAAAGGACCTGCCATCAATCTGGCCACAAGTTGAAGAGGCCGATGCCAAGGAGATTGCACAATTTGTCCACGAAAAGGCCTTTCAGAAGATTCGACTTTCTGAAGTACCTCCAGGCACAGTGATCGTTGATGGCACCTGGGTGCGACGTTGGAAGATGAAGAGTGGATCACGCATCATCAAGTCCAGAATGTGTGCCAGAGGATGCTTTGATCCTCAGAAAGATTCACTGGCTACAAGATCCACCACAGCCTCACGGTTGTCACAGAGGATTTTGATGTCCACAGCAGCAGTCATGCACTCAGACCCAGAATCGTGGGATGTATCAGGCGCTTTCCTGAAGGGATTGTCTTTTGATCGCATCCGAGAGATCCTCCTCAAGCAGGGCATCAAATCTCCAGCTCGTGCAGTGGTACTGATACCACCATGGAACACTTGGCGCCACCTGGCTGCGGTCGACAACAGTTTCCAGGTGAATCCAGAAGACATTCCACTGTACGGACTATGGTGCCTTAAGCCCATCTACGGCCTGAATGACGCCCCGGTTGCATGGCAGCTGTCCTTGGGCGAGTTCCTCAAGAAGACCAAAGGCCATCCAAGCAAGCTAGATGATAGCTTCTTCTTTTGGAAGGATCCACGAGCAGATCAACCTCTTCTTGGAGCGCTCACCACTCATGTGGACGACCTTGCTGTTGTGGGATCGAAGAAGTTCAAAGACCAGCTGTTCAAGGCCATGTGCGATGAGTTTGGCCAGATCTCACGTGATGCACTTCCCTTTGCGCATTGCGGCTGTCAGTATTCCAAGACCACCACAGGCTACTGCATTGATCAGACTGCATTCGCCTCTCGTCTGAAGCCATCAGACAATCCAGAAGGATCTGACGAACGAGATCTCACTCCGTCTGAGCTCACACAATTTCGCTCAGTCCTAGGAGGACTTTTGTGGCTCTGCAGCACCCGTTTGGACATTGTGGCCGAAGTTGGAACACTGCAGTCCGTCATCACCAAAGCCAAGGTCAAACATCTTCGACAAGCGAATCAGTTGGTGAAGAAGGCATGTGCCAAAGACAAGTTGAGCCTGGGACTTCATTATCGCTTCTTTGAACCCGGCACCAAGATGCGACTTCAATGCATCCATGATGCGAGCTCTGCATCAAAGGACACAAGCTACGCCCAGGAAGGCATGATGATCCTGCTTATGCCCGAACTGCCTCCAGAGATGCTGAACCAGGACGACATCACATGTGGTGAACCAGAGATTCAACATTTGAGCAACTATGGTCATTTGCTGTTTGCCCATGGAGGAAAAGCAAAGCGTGTGTCCTATAGCACCTCCCATGCAGAGACACTATCTGCAATTGGTGGCCTGGAAGCGAGCAGCATGGTGTCCATTCGTATGACAGAACTTTGGATTCCTGAACCAAGTCCATCACTCAAGCTGCTCACCGAATACCAGGAACAGGGCTCAACAGTCTTCCCGGTGGATACGGCAACAGATTGCCGTGACTTCTTCGAGTTATGCACTGGAGCTCGCTCAGTACCTCAGGATAAGCTGCAACGGCTATATATCCTAGCTTTCAAAGAGGCAAGAGCTACAGGTCGGCTTCGCTACATCATCCTCACGCCCACCGAGTACATGTTGGCAGATGGACTGACCAAAACGATGACAGCGCCCAAGCTCCTGCAGTACCTCAGTACAGGCTACGTTGAATTTGGCAACGTTGACAAGCACTCAACGCTCCTTCGTCGCCTTCCTGTCCTACATGATCTCACGGAGAATGACCTCTACAAGAGTGACCAAGAACTATGGGAAGAGACATGGAAGGGGAGAAAGACTTCAACGAGTACAAACTTTGCCTTGATGACAGTTTTGGGATTGACCCAAACTATGGCGGCAAAAGTCTGTTTGGCCTTCACCATGTTAAGCCTTGGAGCACAAGCACAAGTACAAGAGCCAGTTGAGACGCCAGGAGATTGGATGTTTTGGATCTTCATCGTCCTAGCGTACCTCGGGCTACGAAGCCTTGAAGGCATTTTGACATGGGCTTTCCGCAAGCCAGAAAAGACGAGAAAGAAGGCTCCACGTACACCTTCACCTTCATCGAGCGAATCGCCTATGGCAACTTCCCGGCCGATGAGAACCACGCCTTCACCGTCTATCGAAAGGAGGACACTCAGTCCTGAGTTTGAGCTGAGCCGACGCTCAAGCGGCTCGAGCTTGCAGATCCCAGACAAGATCTGGGTGACGACCACAGGTGACACCTTTCACCTGAGCCCGACATGCAATGGGCTGGCACGAAGCAACAAGGCCTCGGTGAAACGCTTGTGTAAGCACTGCAGCAACAGACACCAGGCCAGCAGTGGAGTTGGAACATTTGTACATGAGACATAGCCACCTTTGACCGATACCCTTTTTCACTCGAACCGGATCGACAGGGATCCCTTGGCCGCTAGCTGAAAAGTCTCCGCTTGTCATTTTGTAGAAAGAACGACCTTCAGATCGAAAGGTCTTCCTTTTCCCTTTAGAGAAGCCTTTATTAGAATATTGATTCTTCGACATTCTTCACTTGTAAACTTTCCATCAGATCAACAACATCTAACAACTAAGTAAAAGATGTTGAAAGGTGATGTCGCTGTGCCAGGCGGTTTGCGAGGCCTGGGTGGAAAGCACATTTCTGTGGCTCCGTGCCATTGGGGGACAGTGCAAATGCATGTATAAATGCTGCATGTCGCTAGCGAGGGGCACGATTGGTTGTGATTCTAGTGGGTGGGCACCTAATAAAGGAAACTCCAAGCAACATATCCTTGCGTGTAGTACATAGTAGTACAATAGGAAGGCAGTCATTTAGAAACAAATATAGACGACTGTATTTAGGGGTCTCCGACATGTGCCTTCTAATTGGGTAGTGCTTTTGAATAGGTGCTTGGGATTATATATTCAGTTGCGGCGGCTTGCCCCTCTTCAGGGCCCTGATTCAGTTGTTGGTCTCTTGGAAGAGGGTGCTGTTAAGGTACGGTTCTTCAGATTTTGGACTCTATTATCCTCATCAGATAGCGGAGTGGTTTAGTAAAGGAGTTTGTTTGAGTAGAGGAGTCGGTTTGACACAGGCATCATATACAACAATCCTTTGATCTGACGCTTGAGGACACTTGTGTGCAGTGCTTGCAAGCGGAGCCAACGCATGCATTCTACCCCTGCATCTGGTCAGCGGAAGTCTGGGGAAACAAAGATCGGGCGAAACAGAGTGTCCTGACATCCGTTCGTAAAAGAACTTGGAAGACTAATTCTGACTGGTGCTTAGCAGGGAATGAGGGAATGGATCCAATAGAATCTCTATTGGGGGCTCATTCCCTTATTCCCTACTAAGCACCAGGCAGAATTGTAGAATTTGGGTCTGTCCTAGACCTGTAACACTATTTTTTGAACAAGGCCCTTACTAACCATCATCATCCACTGTTACTGAGGAATAGGATAGACCCAATGTAGAATAACTAATCAAACCCCATATGAAGAGGTTCTCAGTCCAAATGGGGGTTCTTTGAATCAACATTCTACATTATGAAGACATGACTTCCCCCCCGTAATCCGCAGATGCCGGTGTCACGGACGACAGACATGCTAAGTATGTAGATTTGGTGCTCCTTCCGCGCCGACGGGGAGTGATCAATTATTCGAAAATAAGGACTGAAGAAACCCGATCAATGGGATCGCTATGGTTAGCCATTTCGGATAATCTTGAATTTCAACTGAGGCTGAGGCTGGCCCAGATGAGTTGATGTGTTTCAGCTGAGTATATGAAAGTGGAGGTGTGTGTATTCAATATACTATTACGTACAATATTCTAACTATAGATACTATAGTTATATGCGAGATCCTTTGCTGCTGTTGTTCTGGTGCTCCTCTGGCCGGAAACAACACAAGGCACTCATCGAGTTCTTTGCGCCTTGTGCGCAGCGGAGACACGCCCACATCTCAACACTCATCCCCTAGGCCGGTGGCGTCTTGGCGGGGAACTGGACAAAACCATGCACCGGCAGTAAGTGTATAATCAAGTAGTTTGCACATGTCCTGAAGTGACACATAGATGAGCCTAAGTGCATTTGAGTCATTTGAGTGATTTCCATTATTTTTTGGAGGTTTAACTAGTAATTCTGCCTAGAGTCACCAGGATCTGCTCCCGAGGTTCTAAGCGTGCACTTTGCAGGTAGGCAACTCTGCCCATGGAAATCACCGAGTTTAGAAACAGCTTGGCTTTGGAACGTGGCCGAATAATCACAACCAGGGCGGCTTGGCCTTTAAAAAGGGTACGTGGAACAAACCACCAAAAGCATCTCTCAGAAAGGCTTCACAGCAAAAAGAAGTGACCATCGGAATCGTCCTTCTTCCTTGGCCAGGCCTGTGCTTCATTTGCCGCTGCCCTTGGCAAGACATCCGCGTGGCAGAGCAACGAATGACCATTTAAGCCGCCGCTCCTGGCCAACGATCCACAGATCCTGGACGTTTGCAACAGACGGATGTGAGGCCCCTAGGCCAAGCGTTGGAGCTTCGGAGCGTCGGGCCGGGCACCTGAAGTGGACTCCGCAAGGAGACTTGCCCCGGTTTTGCTTAGAGGATTTGCATGGATTTGATATTTACGGCGTGGATGAGTCCGCTGAGAAAGTTGTTGATGCATGTTTATGCAATTTCTTTTTCCCCCGTTTCTTTGTGCTAATTATCATTGAGCAAATCTCAGTGGCGCTCGACACCACCCTGGGGACCTTCAGTAGAAGTGGGTGTGCTTTTCTGTGAACAATATGAGCAGAGAAATGATCGGGGCTGCATCGCTTCTTTTCGAGAAGATCTTCATGTCAGAGACACTCCAAAATGATCCAAAGATGCAGGTCCATCAATTGTGTTGCATGGGGCCATTGCGGTGTTGGGCTTAGGACTCGCACGACCAGGGATCTTTTTTTCTGCGGAGAGGAAATCCCCAAGGCATCTGAAGGTTGACATCTGTTAGTCTGTCTGAGGTCTGAGGATTTGACATCTGTTTGTCATTAGATGTCATCTAATGTGACGTGGCATTGGGGCAACCAAGGATTGGTACTCCTAACATTTGATTGACCCACTCCTAAATCTCCTGGTTCAGACTCGATTTTTTGGCCCAGCATGGCATGCGTTGTCCTTTCATGTCCTTTCATTTTTGGTTAGGGTCTTGATCTTTCCCTTCAGAGGCGGGCCAACTTTCAGAGCAGAAGACATGTTCGAACTTTCATTTAAGATAGGATACCTGTGATGACAAGTGTATGCGATGAACATGAGAGGGTTAAAAGGACAACCACTGCAATCCACAGGTTGACATTTTGTACCATAAGATCTACTAGTAACAAGAAGCTACTAGTAACAAAGGGCATCGCTACTAGGACGCTATGAGGTGGAGGCCATCGCACGTAGGTTGGAGGCCATCGCTACTAGGAGCAAGAGGACGCTATCAAAACATATCATGGAAGTGGGTGGACCATGGCCGAAACAATGACCATGTTCCGAATACCAAAAAGGATGGGTTTCCTCCAACAAGCGGAAGAAGAGACAAACTGATCAGGGCGAATGTGTCCCTACAGACCTGGGGTGATTTACAGGGGTCAATGTAGGTAAATAGAGATAGAAAAGTAGGGGACCCCACTCAAAAGGTCTTGGAAACTGTTTCTGTAGTTGTTTCTATCTATTTGGGGACCACTAGACATATTGCAGTCCCTGCAGTGTTTGGGTCAGAGATGTATCCGCTTCCAAGGTGCTGGTGAACCACGAGAGCGGGCCAGGTGGGGATGCAATGGGTACAACGGAACGGATGTTTGACTACAATGAATAAGCAGTCCGCGTGCACAGGTGGTTGGATAAGTTATTAGGGTGTGTCCCATTACGAGTAACAATCGGTAAAAGATGATCATTATTTTTGAGAACGGCCTCTGCTAACGATCATCATCCACTGTTACTGATCATGGGATATACCCAAGTCATAAGCGTATGCTATGCAAGATACTAAACACATTAAAGTACATTGGGGAGGGTATTCCATGACAATCTGGTTCTTTCATTGTGTTACGGGCGTGATGCATGGTCTGGGGGAGATCATGTTCGCACTCCACACCATGTTTTCTACACCCGGAGTTGATACTTGAGAGCTTTCACGAAGCTCGCCATCCCCCAGCCGAGGGACTTGCGATTTGGCCGAGAGTGAGCAGGTCGCATGTGCGGAGGTTTTCGAACAGGCCAATCAACTGGGGGGGCTGGGGGGCCTGTATTCTTTTAGCAACTTTGTAGAGACAACTCCAGAAGTCGTGGCAGAGGTAGCTCAGGCTCCCATTCATGGAGCTCCAGGCCGAGTTTCCCGGCAACCTTCCAACCTTCCAACCCGAGACTGTGGCTAGCTGCCGGAGGCCCAGTTTCCCAATAAGCAGATGGGATTGGACATTATACGTTCCACGCAAAGTCTTTATGAGGCACATGCAAAGCGCTTCAGTCAGCTGAAGGCGCCCTACAATGCATGAAGGATAATGAATTTGGATTGTAGGGTCACTTGCCCATGCATACCTTACCTAGCCACCTTTGCCTATTTCCTCTCTTCCCAGGCCTTAAACCTCGAGTTTCTGCTTCGATATCATCAATGGATACTCGGTAGCACTTGGCAGGATTGGGCTAAACGGCTAAACTAAGATCCAGCAATGCCACCAAGTGTACCATGTGGCGGTTCACTTACTTGCATATTAATCCTTGTTGGTAAGCACTTGATGAGAATAGGTTTCCCAACTACTTTTCCATGTTCATGCTCATTGCTGCTGCTTTTTTCCCTATTTTGACCCACACTCCCCAACTGGGGCATTAGATGATGGGGCTTGGACGAAGAGGATTCTGGGAGGGCTCTGGAGTGAACCCCATGTTGAACATCGATTTGTTTTTGAGATTTGTGGACTCGTCGCTGGCTGGATTCCCTTCTGGAGACCTAATAATCTAACAAATGGCCAGTCACATGGCATGGTTTCGGTTCACAGCCAAAAAGTCTATCAGACAACCATGGGGGGAGGCTCACCTCTCAATAATCTCAATACTCGGATTTGTGGGTTTTTCACATGGTTCTTTTTTTGGGGGAAAGTAGGGTCAGCACATCTGGAGGGTAGAGCCATTGTGTTTCACATACGAGCCAACTTACGCCAGCCCAGCTCTCATGGTTCCCTATGGTTCCCAGCCCAGCTGTTCCGCCGAGCTGGTGATTCGAATCGGCCAGCTCCAGTTCCAGCCCAGGTGGAAGCAATGGAGTTGGACTGTGAGGAGTGAAACTGGCAGCGCGCGCCGGTCTTGCTTTTCAGGTGGGATCCGAGTTCCATCCGCTCATCGAAGCGATTGAAGAATGGTACAAGAGAGGGGAGAAGAAAGGGGACAAGTGGGGAATGTTGACCACTGGTTTTCAAGATCTCTGGGAGTCTGTTACTGTATATATAGTTGCGGATGCGTGGTGTGCAAGAAACATCCAAAAGACTGCCTGGCCCAAGCAGAGAAGAATTCAACGGCCCATTTTAGACCGCGGGGCCAAAGTAGTGGATAACACAGCTTCAATGTCCTTGGGATTTTCAATCAGGCTGGGGCTGTTCGATATGGTTCAACATTCCTCAAGCCCGCACTCTTCTTCAACAAGGAATTGGGTGCTTGGTAAGCTCCTATTCTGATCGCTTGATCCACGTGTCTTCATCAGTCAGGCGGCGCTTGGTCTCTTTATTTATTGTCCTAAAGACCTGTTCAGTATGGATTGTATCCTTTCGTTGCAAGTGTTGCTCGGGAGTAGCACCTACTCCATGGCATGGCCCAGAGTCTGCTACTCGGCGCTTGTCCATGTCTCGACGGCAAGGCCTCCAGTCGGCTGGACGGCAGCGACTTCGACTTCGTCGCAGGTGCCACACCTGCCTGGCCAAACTTTCAGACTCACCAGGGGGACCTCGGGTCTGCATAGTAGCATAACCGTTAGTTGTGTGTGCGTGTGTGTGTACCCCTTGTAATCACAGGGATTCCGTTGAATTGTTTTTCTAGGGGCGTGTGGCACTCTCGTCCTACCACACGCAACGAAGCTGTGGGCGAGAGTGGGAAGGGAAACTTGGCCAGTTTCCTGTACCTGCTGTGATGATTACTCCAATCTACAGGCCCCTGCTTGTAACTAGAACTAGACCCTTCTCCTGGCTTCGGTTTGCAGTAAAGAGCTAATGAACTTACCGCCGTTTTGCAACCTTGAGCTGTGAACTTGACTTTGGAGCTCATGAACGTTGAGCTTTACGCTTTACACTTTGAACTTGGAGATGCGTCACAGTCCTGCACGCACGTCGTCAACCTGTCGCGTGATCGTCGATGCTATTGTTTTGGTCTACCTGTACCCTTAGGAAATGGTAACCTAGGCCGGCGTGTGGCACCGCTTTCAGTACACCCTATCCTAAGTGTGTGGGTGTGTGTATGAAAATAGGGAGACCTCCCACCCAACGTGACCTGAAAGGTTCGGAAATTAGAGTAACGTAAGGTCGACTCAGTCAGGGCCAGTACGTGTCTCCCAGTACGTCGACCCAATTTGGATCAATTTGGAGATGTGTTTGGGTCACCCCGTGTTGTTTAGGATGGCTTGGCTTGCTTTGGATGAGCTGGGGGGGAACTCTTTTCTGAATCATTGCAACAGGCTTTCAGCATCTTGATCCTTGATCATTCAGAAGTAGAGAAAACCAACCATGCGTGGCGACGAAGACCTCGCTACGTTCGGAGACGTATCTGTTTTCTTGTGATCGACTATCCGCGATTGCCTTGTGATTTAGCTTCCAGACAGCCTATGTACGGGGCCACCCCGGAGCCACTACGGTAAATCTTCCAGAGGTCCGTGAAGACGACGCCATAGAGCGAACGCCACAGGCAGCGCTGCCACAGCTCGCTGGGCGGCCGACTTCGCAGACTTCGAAGCTCATCGAACAAAGGTTCGAAGCAGATCACGGGTCTCTGGGGTCAGTGTTTGGGGTCTCTCAGTTGACTGAGGTCACTGAGGTCTCTCGGAAAGAACATGAATTCCACATCGTTGACCACGACCGTGGCGGAAGACCGTGGCTGCTGCCTCAAAGAGACAAGCAAAACTGGTCGTGGCTGCTACCTCCAAACTGAACACGTGGTGGCCCCGCGCCCAAACAAATTTAACCCTTGGCACAGCATTTGGCATGCAAAAGTTCCTCTACACCTAGAGAGGTGTTCAGGTTGTGAATCTTTGAGGAGTGCTTCCAGCCTCGCAGATTTGTGCCACTCAGAAGCCTTTCTCAGTTTTCCTGCCTCAAATTTCCTGCTCAAGCGCGTGCCCCGGTCTTCTTCGGGGTCGGCCGAAGCGAGGCCAGATCGGCTCTCGAGCATCAGCGAAGGTTCCCAGGGTAACCAGACCACGGTGGGGGGCATGCAGACTAGCAGACTCAGTTTCTAGGTCATACTCAGGGGGTCATCTTTCACCAAGACGCCAGGATATGCTGAGTTTGTTTAGTAATTACTGAGTTCCAATGCCAAGATGTGCTTTTATTGATGCTCAACAATATAAGTTGAGGGGTATTGACATATTGATGCTTTGACATGGGAGCAGTGACTTTCGATCATTTGAGGATATTTGAGTAAGATCGGCACGTGAGGTCCAATACTGAACTGGAGTGCATTCTGGGAAAGTACACTGGCTGCCACTGGCCTCTACCATCTCTCATTCAATGGACTTTCAAGACTACTTTGAGGTTATTTGAGGTAGAGGTGGTTGTCTTAGGAAAGGTGATGAACAGTGGCTACTTGGCAACCCTCCTTGGTTGTTTTGGCTTCCTTGCTCTACAAACCTGAAACGGCCTTTTCCGCCCGTGCAATCGTTCTTCAGAAGGCGGCCTTCTTCTCCGCGGCACCGCGCCGATGCCGGAGGAGAGTTCTAGGACGGGGCCCAAAATGGAAGCAGGATGAGTTCCAAATCAACTTGAAAGACTTACACTCCCTCCTGAAATCATGGTTACGTGGATGGAGGAGTCCCCAGTCATGGCCCTGTCCCTTGAAACTGCAGATGACCAGCTTCAATCCGAGACGAACGACCATGACTCGGTGAACTCCACACAAGCATGTGAACATGACTCGAAAGGCTTGAGCCTTTTTTTCCGCAAGTCGAAAGCACCAAGTTGCTGGGAAGTCTTGAACTCCTGGAGTCCTGGAGTCGTTTTCTTTTGTGGGGGGGAATCCTGCTGGGGATCCTGAGATCAAACGCCTCATTTGACTAAGAAGTTGCCAAGACTTGCAGCGTTTTTTGGGTCTCGAGGTCTCGATCAAAGATCGCGCACCAAGTCAGCACGGCCACGGCCCCCCCCACCCGGTGGTCCAGTGCAGGGCGGTTTGCCGCATGAGTCAGAGGATGTCATTTCGGTCACACATGGCATGCTCCTGCTTGGCAACCTTGATACCATTTGATACCAACCTTTTCGATCAAGCTCTCTTGCACTTGTCTACCTTGATGGTCCGTCTTAAGCAGGAACAGGTCCGAACACAAGAAGACAAGGATAGCGAGACTCAACTTGTCTCACTTGAATCCATGGTGTGAATCTTTCTTGGCATGGTGGCCCCATGTGGCTCACTGGTTGAACAAATGGTCTTGGCCAATGGCAAGAGGATTGACTCAGATTAAATCCCTTTGATGCTTTCTTCTTGCCATACCATACATGGTGAAGAATTAGCCCTTGATGCAACTCTCCCTCGCTCTATTTCTTCATTACCTACCCCTGGAGAGAAGCCCGCAGTGCTTTGGATTCTACGAACATCTCAGGCGGAGGTCATTGTTCTGTGAGCGGAGGTCATTGACAGGGTTCATTGCTGTTTCATCCTCCGGTCCATGGATGATCCATGGGTGGGATGCCTGGAGAAACGACGGGATGGATCCTCGTCTTCGGAGAAACGATTCAGGTGGAAACCGCTTTACAGTCCTCTCAAGGCAGATGGACAACCGCCTTGAACACTTCGAGCACACTCTGAGTGAGACCACTTGGCATCCACTGGGGCGTTCCACTCTGTTTGAGGGCCAGATGGTGCTCCAAGAACTGCCAGCAAATGCCAGTCACTGACCTAGGTGGTGATTGATTTCCAGTCACTGAGTGGTAGATTGATTCTTACATCTTCATCAAACCTTCCACTATTGCCCTTCCAGTCACTTTGCCCTCATACAACACTGGAGAACCATGTATAGCAACACTGGTGGGGCTTTGAATGGCCAGAGTCTTTTCTGTAGTCTTAAACACTAGATAGACAGATATAGACCGCCTCACGGGTCCAGATCCACCAATCTCGAATGGCCAGAACCTTCATCTACCGAGACCGTTGGGCAGCCGCCGTTGTGGCACCCGTGGTTTTTTCCTGCTTCAGGACAGACAAGCCCAATGTGCTAGGAAGTACAGGAAAGCTTGGCTCCCCAGATGGGGCAGGTGGGGCTCTGCAGGTCACCAGAAAGTCATGCAGCACTGCAGTCTTTTTGCCTTTGCTTTCTTCGCCTTGCATGAAGAAGCTCAGCACTGCGCCAGCACTGCTGGTCATCCGACCCCCCTGCAATCCGAACAGCTTCCCCCGAGCTCGTCGGTCTGGTCTCGTGGTCCGAACACCTGGAAGACGGTGGAGCGGGGAGCCTCTTGGCCATTGGAAACACTGCATATGTATGAAACAGCACAATTGCCGTCTGCGGTGTTGAAACTGCCCTTGCCAACCGAAACACGGATATGTATGAAACTCGCGTATGATAGTTGAAACAGCAAATCTCAGCACGTCAGTTTGACAAATGTCCCTTTGGTAGGGATAAGTCGAACACCTGCACAACATGCCAGCGAACAAAATGTGCATGTGTCCATGTGGTCACTGCCCCTTCACCTGCCAGGTCAAGGAAGTGTGCATCAGCTTCCATATCCAACCAAAAACGTCCTTCCCGGCATTTCTGTGGGCTCAGCTCTCAGGTCAGTGCTCTCGTCTCCCAGGCGCTGACCAAAACAAACAGTGGAGCGTTGCTTGATGATGCAACCAGATGAGCTGGTGAATGGGGAGCAGTTTACTCCCAAAATCTAGAGGTGAAGGTGGAGCAAAGCCAAAAAGGGATGATCCTGGTGTTGCTCCATGTTTTGCTTTTACTAAGAGGAGCCGAGTGGGTATGGGATGGCTGCCCTTTTTTTGAGCCACAACCAGAAGTTTGCAAGATGTTGCAGCACGAATACCTCGTTGTACTGGGACAGCCTGGGAGAGGGATGCAGGTGCTTCATAGACGCCAGTCACCTGTGTGTACATTTTTCTACCACTGCCCTTCTCAAAGAGTACATACAGCCATACAGCAGATAGGTTTGTTAGAGAAGGTTTTCCTCGCATTCTTTTTTCTGGGGGAACCAAGCATGGGGAAAACTCTGCAATGACTTACGGTAACCTTTCGGATGTCAGTTGCACTTGCAACATCCTGCGAGGAGAGTCTCCCTCTTAGTACAGAAAACACTTCCATCCTAGCTCTTGACGTGTCGTTTTTTTGTTTGAACATGTTTCAAGTTTAAGTTCCTTGTTCACAACCACACCGCTTGGTATCTTGACCACACAAAACCACGTGGCCGGCAGCCGACGCCTTCAGCACGAGACCATCCATGAACGCAGTCAGATGAGTCCACACAGTCAGACGAGCACGATGAGTCCGACGGGCCGACGGGCGGAGGGTCAGCACCGTAGAGCCGATCTCTAATTACATGGGACTGCCGTAGTTCTGCCCCATTGACCCCCCCCATGGAGTGTTTGGCAAGATATATCATAGCGCACCAAACAACCATTCTCGCTTTTCGCCAGATCCCACCGTCTTCGATTCTCGGGGACCCAACTCCGATCTTTGAACCCAAACTCCGACCGAAGGACTTCGCAGTGGCCACGCCCTTCCAGGCCAGATCCCTATGAGAAGCAGCGGGAGGAGGCCGAGGCGAGGCCGGCGGATCCGACTCTGTGCGGAAATGCCATGGAGAAGGCCATTTTGGAGGAGAAGGGGACCATAAAAAGAGGACGTGTCAATGACATGGTTGAACCATTTATCGGAAGGAGGGAGTCATAAGGAAGATCCTGCTGTTTTCTTTAAAGAAACTCCGCCCTGTTGAAGATCTGATTTGTCTGGTCGGACAGAGCTCTTGGGGATCACGGTCCGTGCATGCTTTTCAGACCCCTCCCGCGGGGGTCTGTGAGCCAGGCGGGGTTTGTGCAAGCCAGGTACATGCGCTTCGGTGCAAACCCCCCTGGATGGGAACGATGGGCGCTGAAGTCCCTACGGGCCCATACGCTCCAAACCACCACAACCCGACGGGGCACTGAAAAGCCAGATTTGAGACCCCAGACCCCTCCATATGAGGGTCCGATCATGTCCGATCCTCCATCATATGAGGGTCCAGGAGCATCTGGGAGGATCATTTTTGCGGCAAAGCTCGATATCAAGCACCATTTGTGGAATTGAGCCAAGAGCCTCAACAGCGGAAATCCCTTCGCAATGTGTTCTTGCCCATGATGTCATGTTGAAAGAAGGAACATTGACTTTGCCAGTGGCAAATCATTTGCGGGGTATGCGGCATGCGTATTCATTTCATTAAAACAGCAGGAGCTCAGGAGCTGCACGGAGTTCCCTCGTGGCCACGAGGAAGCTTTCTGGTGACATGTTTGCAATCCCTGGTGTTTTCTTTTCTCCGCAATGGAATCAAACAGATACACAATTTGTTCTCGGTGTTGTTTTCTTTTCGATTCACCAACACACCTTTGCCAATTTGCAGACACATGGACCCCCATGTTTCATCCGAAGGATGGGAAACAATGGTACGACAAAGTGGGGAAAGGACGCAAACTTGGCTGGTTACTGCTGGATTTGCAAGGTCAGTCACATATAGTTACATCGTGACATCTCACGACCATGGGGGTTGAACACCAAAGATGCTTGGACGAGGTTGAACACATC